AACAGGTTTGGTGAGTAGGTTGGAATAACGGTGGGTTAAAAGTTAACACTGTGACTACAGATGTAATTGCATGCAAGTATTTTTACATATAACTACAATGTAAATCAAAGCATCTACACAAAAGAGTGCACAGTATAAAACCAAATGATTGTACATTAAATGATTCATTTAAATGTTAGTTGCTGGAACTAAACATAAAGTGGGTCGCAGTCTTATTACTCTGTATATGTGGTACAGACCATTTCAATGTGGTCATGTCATTGGCCCATAAACATTTCCTGCTTGGTGTCAAACTATTTCATAACTGTAACAAGAGGCAATTAAATCATAACTTAATGTTAAAACAGCTTTCAAAACATTATTTAGCAACATGTGGGCCCTTTTTGATTTCTCGGAAGCTATGGAAATTAAAAATTTAAAAATACGTTAGGAGTTAGGACCATTGGTATTGTTTATATCCCTTAAAAGGGTCTATATAAGCATGTACAGGAGTACTTCAAGACTATCAACCACAACAATTCACCAGGTTTAGAGAATCAAATTGAGCTTCATTCAAGAAATTCACTGCACCAAGTACCAGGGAAAGATTTCTTTTGGGAACAGGAGCATATGGTTGCGCAGATGAAGAGGAAGTAAAAGAAATGCTTTGGCAGATAAGTTAAGGAGACCACACATTTTAATTTTTTAAGTGCACTAAACATCTAGTTACTCAAGGGCACCTTTACCTGCACTTCACATTACTGTATAGAAACAGATGAGGGTCAGATTGGCAGTCAAAAAGTATCGATTACATCAAAAGCCTAGATTAAATTAGGCTTGTAATTTGATTGGAGGTACAGAAGAGCGTAAACCGCTAAATCCAGCCGTAAGCATTTATGCAGTGCGACTCAGGATTCTAGGTGACAGAAACAGCAGCTTGAGGTATTAGCACATTTATGTCAAAGGAATATTTCAAAACGCTCAGCAGTTACAACAATGGCACAGTGGTTGAAACAAGCTAAGTGGACTATCAAGGTAAACATATTTATACGCTGTTGTGTCCAAACCAGGCACCACGCAAAGCTACAAGTGATCTCTTGCATGTAAATCTGAGTCCTAATAAGCCATGTGGGATGGTAATGAGCAACAGTACAGTTGCCTGGTTTCTAGCCCCACCCACAGTACAATGTCATTGGTCTACAAACCCACTCCACAAGTGTACACTTCATTGCACATCAACAATATTCAGACTGGCTGAGTGTGCATAGACACATCATTTTCTCCTAAATACTTGTTGAATCAGTTTTTAATCCATAGCATTATTAAATTACTAGAAATTATACACTGCTGTTAAAAGTTTGGAGCTTTAAAATATTTTTTTAAATAAAGGATTTTTAATAATATACAATAAATAGGACAAAAGATTTATAATGTTGCCAAATAATTCTATTTCAAATAAATGTTATTAAAAATGCTGCTTCTGTCATTAACAAATTACTTTCTAATTACCAATAAATACATAATGAATATATTATATATAAATAAACAATTATTCTTGAGCTTCAAATCAGCATATAAGAAGAATGATTTCTGAGGGATGATAAGACTTCACTGAAAAACCCAAAAAGTTAAGGTAACTCAAACCGTTTGAGGAAACAGATTGCAACAAACCATTTAAGCTCAAAAACTAATCGTAATGAGTACTGTGAACTTAACCCATTTGAGTGAACAAAGCAATTTGAGCACAGTAAAACCCAATAAATAAAGAAAACTCAAACCAACTGAGTACTCTAAAACCTAAAAAGTTAAGGCAACTCAAACCGTTTGAGGAAACCGATTGCAACAAACCATTTGAGTTAAAAAAACTAATCTATGCGAGTACTTTGAACTTACTTCATTTAAGTTGAAGTAATGAGGTATTTAATTACCTCGTTACATTCAACGCCGAGTTCAAAACTCTTCAAATGAGTAAAATTAACTTTCAGTAAATTTTGAGTTAACTACACTCATTTTATTTGATAAAGTTGAATGTTGAGTTTTACAGTGTAGGCATGGGCCGGTATAAAATTCTGACAGTATGAAAATCTTGGATAAAATATCACGATTTCAAGGTACTGCTTTAAAATATTTTCCTTTTAAATATCTGGGTAAAACACTGCAACTTTTCGCCCACTGAACACAATATCTTTTATTTTAAGAAAGATTTAAAATAGTTTGGAGCAGTAAACATGTCAGGCTAAATAATTCAAATGAATCATTGCCTTCTGCTGTCCTAATTAGTTTCAAAAAACAGATTTCTTTACAACTTGAAAAGGCATTTTGTTGCCCTAAAAAATAAATTAAATAGTCGTAAAAAACATGAGGAGAAAAAAACATTTACATCTACTTCAGGAACGGAAACAGAAATTTTGCGGTTATAAAAACCTGACTTTTCCATACCGCGGTAAACTTTAAAGCCGGAACTTTGAACTTTGAACTTATCATTCCATGCCAACATGCGACACTGAAGACTGGAGTAAAAGCTGCTACTGTAAATATTTAGCTTGCAATCACTGGAATAAATTTACTTTCTAAAATATAATAGAATATTTATATATAAAGTAATAATATTTCATATGGTTATATAAGAAATTAAAATAATTTTTTTAAATATTTTAAAAAACCAAACCATATGTTTAGCAGTCTATTTACTATCCATATGACAGAGATGATGCAAGACTTTTGTTCAAGGTCTCCCAATGAACCACATATTCGAATTTAAAATGGAGAACAAAACAGGACTGACAAACATGAAATTTCCATTATGAGTTATTACAGCCACTCTTTTGACCATATACTGGATTAGTAACAAAGATTTAGGCTTTTACGCTGGTTTGAGAAAGCTTTTATCAAAAGAACAAAAATAAAATTGAAGGATGGCTTACAATGAGACTGGACTGCTTTCTCTGATTGCAATGATAGCCAGTGAGAGTTTACACATAATATATTCCACAATAAACAGATTTATAAACTAGAAGAACATCCAGATGTATTGACTAATGCATCATACACTTTAATTCAGAAACTGGATATCACATTATTTTAACAGAAAAAAGGGGGGGATTTGGCGCAACTTTCCTGCAAGTTTCTTTACATAAGGACAACATAAGAAGTCTGTCAACTGATCTGCACACAACAGATATGTTCACAAAAAAGTGTATTTAAATTCCTCTTAAGATGTGTAGAATGTGACTAGCTGACTGACCCTGTGTTTCTTTGTCCTACAAGTATGATGCAGTGAAAAAAATGTGTGTGCGCTCTCATTTAAAATGATTTCACCAGCAGAAGTTACAACCATTCTGCCAAATCTGCACAGAGGAATGATCTAACAGCATTATGAAAAACTATTCTATAAATAAATGCTATCTGAGAACAGATTGTGCATGCGAAAAAGAGTCCTACGTGTCTTATGCACTCATAAAAGAATCAAAAAGTCAGCTGCAGCCACGGCCACACTTTGTGAATAAAAGGTTATACTGTAAACGTCCCTTTACTTGCATCGCTCGGGAGAGAGTCTGTAACGCCACGCAGATTCCTGCAGGTCCAGAATCAACCTGTTTACCTGAGACCAATGCAAACCACATCGCCAAGTGCAAGACTTTGTCTCTGCCAGAAAAACATTAGCCAACACAAGGCTATCAGAAAGTGCCATCTGCTGGAACAGAAGGCAGCCATTGAAACCACTTTTTAAAACTCCAGGAAAATCAACTTTTCCCTAAGAGAGGAAATCAAAGGAATGTTACGTATAGATAAGACTGAGATATTGAGCACAACAGAAGTAAACTACAGAGATTACGCTCAATGCGGCCCCTGCTGCATGTTGTGTTTCTAAAAATACAGCCTGTGTGTGTGTGCCGTAGACTATAACCAGCAGGCCCCGACAGCACTCTGCTCTCTTCATTAATGTTATGCAGCTAAGACCGTAATAGCCGTGGTAAACTAATCAAAAAGCTCACGCTTTGCTACTTCTAATCACTGACAGAGTGAAGAAAATGATGGTTTCATTTCACTACAAACACGTCATTACTGCTGGAGACAGAGAGAGACACAATCATTGCTGGATGTGATTAAACTTTGCTCCTGTATTTTACAGTATCTCTTGAAAAGGGATTTTATGTATAGAATTTAGCATCTGATCCCTTTGAAGGTGGGATATTAGCATTATGTTACAGGTCCTTTCAGTCAGAAAGCCAACAGTTAGTCTTAAAAGTTAGTCAATCAAAAAAGCTTTTGGAATAGCAAATGAGGCAGTGCGGTGTTTTGACAATAAAGGTAACTGCAGCATTGAGGATGACAGACTTTCTGTTCAACTAGAATGAAGAAATGTGTCGTGTCAGCATGGGAAAACTGCTATGATCTACTACGCTGCAGTGTCAACGTCTAGTGAAGAAGGTGTCAACACCAACTTAGGACTCCCACCCGTCCCCTCACGCACTGCACAGTTTTCCTTTGTGTGCACATTTGTCAACAGCTTTGCTCAAATAAAACTGCGCAAGTGTGCTCCGCAGACCACCTTGTTGTGATTTGTTTTGGGGGGGCAGTCTGTTGTAAAACAAACTGTATCCATCTTGTTGTGAAACAACAGGGTAGCAAGCTAATGATGTGCTAATGAAGGGATTAATAGAAAGAGACAAATGGCATGAGGTCTTTGCAGTGCACACAATCACGCTGCACACAAAAGCCAGAGAGCAGCAGCATCACCACTTTAAGTGATGCAGGACTGCTGCAGCATCCCCGAAATGTGCCCGAAAGCCCCTTTCACACACACACATATGGCCCAAGTAAGACTGCTCGACCTGCCTTCACACTACATACCTGTGGGATTTAGTTTTAAAAAGTTGAACGTTAAAGCCTCGGGCTGCAATATCAGTCGTCGGTCTCACCACTAGAGCTCAAGTTATCCTGCATTCACTGACTTGCTGCACAAATTTGACTGCAGATCAGCACACACAGAGAGGGGAAGAAGACGCAATGGCTCTTACCACTTGGGTTCTTGTTCTTCTTAAGACTCTTGCCACAAAGACACTGCAGCATATGCGTTCCTTTGCTGAAAATGTTCCAAAGAAACCACATTGATTTGGGCGAGGAGCGATCCAACAGCTTAGACACCCTGATAAAGAACAGATCCCTGCGGTTGCATAATAATAAGAACACAATGGGATGCTCAGTTTTCCAGTAGTATCATAGAAAAATATGTATTACTATCCAAGCGTCTTCATGCAAGAGGTAAAATATTCTCTGGAGACCTGGCAAAACAAAGGTATTCTTCTTAGTAATAAAGGTTGGTCGGCTCATAAAAATAGATACTCTATAAATTGCATGTGCTGCAGAGGGGGAACGTGCAGCCCGTTATAAACTAACGTGAAAGACACGGCGGATCTTTGCGTTCCCTGTTAGTTCATCACTCAGATGAAGGGTGGATGGATGTGCACGGCATCAGAAGCCTGGAGGGGATGCATCCCATTTAAAAGCAGTGATACCTCCGAGCAAAGCGCACATTTCCAGCGTCAGCTCAGTGTTTCTCAGGGAAGTCTTCCTAAAACCTGCTGCTGCTGCTGTTGCTGCTGCTGCGGCTGCTGTTGCTTTTGCTGTTGCTGCTGGTCAGTAATATCCATGAGCTTTCATCAATGTGAAAGCACTGCACTAAGGCTGATGCTGACTGAGGATGCGGTTGGAGTGCGGCTTGATGTTTCACCTGTGCATTACTGATCCCGTTGCCTCCTCAAAAGTATCTCTCGCACGTATTCCTCTTTGCCTTGGATCTGTGTTGGATATAGACAAGAAGGAGGAGGGGTTGAATTGAAAGATTGCCTTTCCATTACGTAAAACACGTGGTTTGGGCTCTGGCATATCACTGACGCTTTCGGCATTTCGGCATAGAGTAGCGTTGGGAAATCCGATGCATTTCAGCGAATCGGTTCGTTTGAACACCTCGTGTTTGTGGGGGGATTTGTTTGATTCGCCTCTCTAATAAGTCTTTCACATTTTATGTTTTGATCTTCTGCGACTCGACTTTCATTTTCTGTTGTCACTGTGCTTTTCCATTACATTTAGCAATTGTCGAGTTGTTTTAGGTGCGTTTTAGTAGCAATAAATGTTTGAAACCATGTGAGTCTCCCATAATTTGTACATAATTGTATATGTTTTACAGATACACGTTCAAGTCTGCCTCATGAAATGAAAAAGAACAAAAATCTGACCTCACAGATTTCTCCATCCATTAAGGGATTTGCAAGCGCTTCGCAGATGAAATCGATTCCTTTGAACGACTCTTTTCAGCAGACCTATTTGTTTGAATCATTGCTCAAAAGTGTTTTACGCACGGCATTTCACATTTCGTTTTTATGCAGTTAAATTTACATTTAGCTAAACTACTGTTGTTTCAGATTAAGCAGAACATATGTTAAAATGCTTCATCAGACTTTGGGCTAAATAGACTCTGTGCTATACTAAAAACCTTTTAGTTCTTTTAAACCTGTATTGTTGTACTGTATGTACTTGACAAAAAATAAGCAGGAAGAAAATATTTAAGAAAAAAATTAAATATGCACTATGGTTATTTCTTATTAATTTCTAGCTCCTGAGTAATTAAAATACATCTTTCTACCAACAACAAAATTTTGTTAGATTTTCAATTAGGGCAAAACCTAGAAGTTAAAAGGATATTAGAAAAGATTTAAAATGATACAATTACTCAATTAACAGCTGCAGTTAACACTCAATTAATAAAAAAAAAAAAACAATAATTTGATTTGACTTATCTTCATGCTGGAATTAAGGTTCTATCTGCTTTCTAAATAATTTTGAGCTTCAAAGTTTTACATTCCATATTGCAAACAATATGCGTGTAACAGTTATCTTTTATACATTAACATGACAGAGACCCTAAATGTAAATTATTAAAATTCTTTTCAATTTGCAAATATAGGGGTAAAAAAAAACAAGAAAGAAAAAATGCAGATAAAAACTTCCAATTCTAAAAAGACATTTTCAGTTTGGAATTATAAGATTCTATCTGGCAGATCATTAATTGAATTGTGATTTTTCAAGAAATACAATCACTCTGCTTATTAATTTATTAAAACAAATTGATGTTGTAACAGTATCTTGATGTTTGAGAAAGTTGCATTATAGGTTTCTACAACACTTATTTAATGTTTTAGTGTGAATATTCTTTCTTGTTCAGCATACAAGGCTGTGCTAAATATTTTGTCCAGTGCAATTGTTCATTTATTATGTTAATATTTATTGAATTATATGCTTTACATGAATTATTGAATTATACGTCCCATGAACTAAATTAAGTATTTGCCCTTCAAGGCTTAATATCAAATTTAAAGACTTTAAAAGACAACAGACAATGAGCAAATGGTTTAATAAACACAAAAACCATTTACTGCATCCAAAATGGTGAAAAGCCTTGGAGTAACGATTGATGACCAACTAAACATCTCTGACCACATTTCTAGAACTGCTCGATCGTGCAGATTTGCACTCTATAACATCAGAAAGATCCGACCCTTCTTATCTGAACATGCAGCTCAACTCCTTGTTCAAGCTCTTGTTCTCTCCAAACTGGATTACTGCAACTCTCTACTAGCTGGGCTTCCAGCTAACTCTATCAAGCCTCTTCAACTGCTCCAGAATGCAGCAGCACGAGTTGTCTTCAATGAACCTAAACGAGCACATGTCACTCCGCTGCTAGTCCGTTTGCACTGGCTGCCAGTTGCTGCTCGCATCAAATTCAAAACTCTGATGTTTGCCTACAAAGTGACTTCTGGCCTAGCTCCTTCTTATCTGCTCTCACTTCTGCAGATCTATGTGCCCTCCAGAAACTTGCGTTCTGTGAATGAACGTCGCCTCGTGGTTCCATCCCAAAGAGGGAAAAAATCACTTTCGCGAACGCTCACGCTCAATCTGCCCAGTTGGTGGAATGAACTCCCTAACTGCATCAGAACAGCAGAGTCACTCGCTATTTTCAAGAAACGACTAAAAACTCAACTATTTAGTCTCCACTTCACTTCCTAATCTGCAATTGCCTCTGAATATCACACTAACTGTACAAAAAAAAAAAAAAAAAAAAAAAACTACTAACACTTCCCTTCTTAGACTTTACAGACCTGAAACTTGCCTTTAGTACTTATTCATTGTTGCTCTTAGTTGTGTAAATTGCTTCCTTGTCCTCATTTGTAAGTCGCTTTGGATAAAAGCGTCTGCTAAATGACTAAATGTAAATGTAAATGTAAAAAAATGTTTCACTGTCTATATATTTTGATGGATGTAAACAATATCAGTGGTCCCAACGCATTTCCTGTTTTACATGTTTAATTTCTATAGCTTCTGAGAATGCAAAAAAGGCCACATATTGATAAATAATGTTATGATAGCTGTTTTTATATTAAGTTATAATTGAATTGCTTCTTATTACAGTTATGCAATAGTTTGATAACAAGCAGGAAATCTTCATGTGCCAATGACGTGACCACATTAAAATGGTCTATACACAAATAAAAAAAATTTCAACGATGTAAAATTTAACATTTCACCAATGTTAAAATGCTTCTAAATCATAACATTTACACACATCATTTCAGTTTCAAGTTTCTTCTCAATTTTGTGTGATGCGGCATTATCTAGTCGACTCTGATTTTGTCTGTCTTTCTGGATTTTCCCACTGTCAACAAAGCAGTCTGGCGGTATGACAAAAAAGTTGATCATGATAGGTCCTCATGCATGCATTCGAAATATGCTATCAATGTCTGATGAGGAAAAGCTTATTAATGCTTTCATGACCTCTGGATTAGACTATTGTAATGTGTTACTAGGCGGTTGCCCTATTGGATTAATTAACAAACTTCAGCTAGTTCAAATGTAGCTGCTACAGTGCTTTCTCAAACAAAGAAATATGATCATATTACTCCAGTTCTTTTATCATTGCATTGGCTCCCTATTAAATATTGTATAAAATTTAAAAATGTATTGACAAAGCCCAGATCGGCTTAGCTCCCCAGTATTTAAGGGAGCTCCTGGGGTATTATAGCCCCTCATGTCCATTACGCTCAATTAATTCTGAACAATTGATTATTCTCATATATCATAATGAACTATAGATCATTCTCATCTCTGGCACCTAAAATCTGGAACAGCCTTCCTATCAGTTTAAAACTAGATTAAAGACACATCTCTTTGCATTAGCATACACATAAAACACAAATCCTTTTGGAATCCAAATCCTCTAAAGCAGTGGTTTCCACCCTTTTTTGCCTGAGACCCCCTTTTTTCCTCTGGAAAATATTGAAATGCCTCCTCCACATAGAGGAGTGGGGAGCATGAGACCCTGTGATTCCTGTGAGACCCTAGTGACAGACTAGTCTTTGCATTAATCCTGAAGGGCCAGCCACCAGCCAGTGACCTTTCCTATCTGCAGCTTCTCCACGATGGACATCCTTTCTCCAGACTGCAGCTCTGCACAAGAAGTTTGATCATATAGGAGAAATGGTCCTACCCACCTAAGCCTGGTTTCTCTCGAGGTTTTTTCCTTCATTTTCGTCAAATTGTGAAGTTTGCCGCTGTCGCCACTGGCTTGCATGGTTCGGGACTTGTTGAGCTGTGCATCGATGGATTTGCTCTTCAGTGTTTGGACTTTCAGCAAATCACACTGAACTAAACTACACTGAACACTAACTCTGAAAAACTTAACTGACCCAGTTTCAATTTACTTGGCCTTCTACATTAAGCTCCTTTGACACAATCTACATTGTAAAAGCGCTATAGAAATAAAGATGAATTAAATTGCATAAAACCTTTTTTTTTTTTTTTTTAAAAAACATTTTTACTTAAAATGTAAACAACTTATATTAAACAAATCACATAATGTAAATAAGATTTCATTTAATAAGAATAAATATTTAAATAACTCAATTTTGACAAAAATGTCAGACAGAAACTTATAATTCTAGTTTTATAACTCAAAATTTTAGAATTTACTGTATAAAAAGAGGTGTTTTCTGAGAATCATAAAGCAAAAATATAAGGCAATCGTTAAAAAAAGAACACTTTCTAATGTACAGGGGGAGGGCAGGTAATCAATATTTGAAGCTTTATTACACTTTTACGGTTCTGATGCTTTAAAACCTCTTTTCATCTTTGACCCATCTTAAAAGAACAACAACCATGTTACAAGATTTGTAACGGCTTAAATAAAACTTTCCTTATCATTTTAATAATGCTATTTTTGCATAATTGTCTTCCTTGAACAAAAACAAAAGAGCGGCGTTCAATTAACAAGATGCTCCACACTTTGATTTACTGCATTAATCTACTTTAACGACCTACTTTTGTTCAGCCCAAGACTTGCCAGTCTTCTGTGATGTGTGTGTCTTCGGGGAGGTGGGCCCCTCTGAGGCTCAATGTTTCTTGACTAAATTCCCCACAGAAAACCTGACACAGCCCAATCATTTCCACTACAAGATGATCACAAAACCAAAACCTATGAGTCACCGAAGCAAGGGCCACTTCCCTGATTAAAGCAAAAACACACTGCTTTAAATCCTTGAAAGATGAGCAAAGTGCATCAAATTCAAACACTATAGTGCTCCGTCACTGTTTGAACCACGCGTGACATCTTAGTGACACAAGCAGTTTGGTAGCAGCACTTTAGAAAGACGACATTATGCCCTGATTTTGCAGATAAGTGTCTGCAGTGACTGGGAGTAATGCAGTACTGAGGTTTTCTTCTCTGCTCTCACTGCCAGGCCGAGTATTGATCTGTTTCATGTAATGTAAAACATCATTGCACCCAAGGGAAGATCCTTTGACAATTTTTTGTCAGGCATCATTATTATACTTCTTTTTGATTATGTAGTAAATTGCTCCTGCTGAAAGAATAGAAAGTGTTATTATTGGCATACATCTCCAATATGCATCAATAATTTAAAAATAGAAAACTGATAGGATGCTTCTTACTTTAAACACATCTCAAAACCTAG